CCTGGAAGTGTCCAAGGCCAGGTTGGACGGGGCTTGGAGTAACCTGGGCTGGTGGGAGGTGTCCCTGCCCATGGCAGGGGGTGGGATGAGATGAGCTCTGAGGTCCCTTCCCAGCCAAACCATTCCATGATTCCATGATACTCGGATATCCCCCCACAAGGTGCTGCCCTGCCCAGCACAGGGTGCTGCCTGCAAATGACAGAGAAAACAGCTGGATTTGGGGGATTTTGGGGCCGGTGGGAGGCAGGGCAGGGGCAGCAGAGCAGGGCAGTGTGTCCATGTGTGTCCCCAGCGGGAGGCAGGGCAGGGGCAGCAGAGCCCAGCAGTGCCCCTCTCTGTCCCCCAGGTGCCAGACGCCGCGGTCGCTGCCCTCCTCCACCACCCACGTGTCCCTCACCTCCGGCGCCGCCTGTGCCGCCGCGATGCCAGCTCAGATGCCAGCTCAGATGCCAGCTCAGATGCCAGCTCAGGAGTGACGTCCCGGAGCCCCGGTCCGGACTGAGCCCCGGGGGGCCGAGGGAGGGCCCCGCTCGTCCTTGTCTGCAGCTGCTTTGTGTGCGTGTGTTTGTGAGACACGAACGGCCCGGCGGGGGACCCGCCCCTTCCCTCCCTCCCTCCCTCCCCGTGCCCCTCCCCGTGCCCCTCCCCGGCCCGGATCTGTCACTTTATTTATTTAACCTATTTATTTATGGAGTGGTTGATGGCGGAGGCAGGAGACGCGCTCGGACTGTTGGACGTGCAGGGCTGGCCCTGGGCACTGTGCTGACCCCCGGGTTTGCCCAGCTCCCAGCCCTGCCCACGCTGCCCAGCACAGGGCTGGGCACGGCCAGGACACGCTCACCAGCCAGGAGGGGCACGGGACCCTCTCCGGGGGCTTTGGCGGGAGCTGGTGCTGCCTTTGCTGTGCTGGATTCCCGGGAATTCGGAGATTCCTCCGCGGGTTTGGAGACTCGGTGGTGGCAGCACCTTGTCAGAGTCCCCCAGTGGGACTCCCCAGCCTGTGCCAACGCCGGGGGCAGCAGGGACATCTCACGGACACGGGCATGGCCGTCACTCCAGGAGCACCAGCTCCATCCACAGGGATCACGGAGTCACCAAAGTCAACCAAAGCCAAGGGCTTTGTCCACCTGTGCCACGCTCTGGAGACACTCTGGAGGCAGCCCCGGCCCGTCGAGGTGCCTGACACCATCTCCCGTCCCTGGGCTGGGACTCCTGACAGCAGCAACAAGAGGTGGAACTTTCCAGCCCCTTCCATCCGCCCATCCCAAAGGCAGGCAGCGTGGGGAGAACAGAGCTGTGGGATGGGAGTGGCTCCCTCCTGCAGCTGAAGGCAATGGAGAAACGTGGGACAAGGTGGTGACGCCCAGGGGAGGGAGGTCATCGCTCCCCTCCGGGCTGGGCAATGCCACAGGGAGGTCACTTCTGAGCTGGGGGAGATTTCCAAGCGGGTGGGGGAGGGATGGGTGTGAAATGGGGGGTGGGGAAGGGGATGGGGCTGTGAATCCCATCCCAGCTGCCGCACCCTTGGTGTTCCTGTGGGACGCGGCTTCCGGAGGGAGGGAAGGTGGGACCTTGGCGAAGCCCCTTCCTGGCAGTGCCAGGCCAGCAGCTGTGCTTTCCCTGGCATGGGGGGGTGAGGAGATCTGTTTGTGTGACACGATTCTCATGGGCAAGGGAGTGACCTCCGGCTCACCTGGGAGGTGTGGATTGGCAAAGGGCCGAGCACAGGGAGTCCCCGGGCACAGGGAGTCCCCGGGCACAGGGAGTCCCCGGGCACAGGGAGTCCCC